ATTCATCTTAAGATGGAAGCATTAGTCACTAGGAAGGAAAGTGTACTGACCATATGGGCGATTGGCCCCAAGGCTTGCACAACTGTAAAATGATTAAATATGTGGAACAATTTTAAATGACTTCCATGACTAGCATACACCTGCATTTTTTAAACTTCAAACTCCAAAATCATGTATCTATATCAGAAGGTAGATATGCTGCGTTAGAATATGGCTATATGTTCACTAAGCCATAATGCATGTGTTATATGCCATATGTATCTTTCTTTTCAGCCATGTGACTTATATTTTCAGCTCTCATTAGCTCCCATAGCTGGAAATAACACCTTACTCCACGGTCCTACGATAGTCAGTGGCCCATTCCTCTGCTCGTCCGAGCTGGAAGATGCATGTGCACTCCTTCCATCTATCAGATCCCATCCCAAATACATAGTCCTGCTTTGATTACAGTGCATGTGTGATGGCAATGGCAAGAAAAGCAGCAACAAAACTGGTCAGAAACCAACATTAAGGGTGGCCTTGGTGGACCAGCCATCACAACCAGAACCAGCTGGAAAGAAGATAGTTCTAGCCCTTCCCCTATAAAAACCTCTATGTCACTAGTGTGTCATGTAGTGGTCAGCAGCATAAAACATAGGAAAACACAGAAGAGTGATACACCCAGAAGTGTCAGTTTAAAAAGAAACTCCACTCCAACCTTATTTAATGGAGCAGTGTTTGATAGTATGAGCAGCAGAAGAATTATGTATTTACATTTTTGTTTACAGAAGATGTTTTATTTGAGATTAGTGACTGAGTCACTTTAAAGAAAAACTACGTGGGCCAGCTTCCTTTACCCTCCCCACCTCCAGCATGTTCTTATTGGCCAGGGGGAAGCCCATCATAGTGGTGGGTCAATAGGGAAGTATGGTGGGCAGGAGAAAGCTTGCAAGCTCTGAAACTACTAGAAAGTGCCAGAACTTGACCTGATGTGAACGATCAGATATTCAATCAGATCCTTGGCATTGTACACTGTTGCAGGCATGTACAAGTACCTCTTGACCTGCTCTCCAAACCTATTGGCAGTTTGTTGTTTATTTTTTTCTTTTGTTAAAGTAAAGTTGTTATAGTAAATTCATCTATGCATCTTAAAGTTCTTGTAGCTGAGTATGATTTATAGGTTGTGATGGCACATTAGACACATGCTTACCTACTTTAAAGGTCATAAGCAGCTACTCTGTTTGTGAGCCAACATTCATGAGAATTTAGCATCGTACTACTATAGCATAAGCTTTGATTTAGCTCACAAAAATTGCTGTTTCTGTCAAGGAAACGCATCATACACATCTTTGTTATAATACTAACACATTCAAGTTGCTGCTGGATATATTAAGAATTACATACATCTCAAAGTGTTTCTCCTCAGCTCTGTTTGTCCATGGCAGATTATACTAGAGTGCTTTGTTGGAAGCCACACTATTATTCTATAGCCTGTATTCATCGATACTATACAAACCAATAGGTGTTCACCATCTTTGGTGTCAGTGGGAGAGATAGTGCCCCATTTTTGGTGTCAGTGGGAAGAATTGCAACCCATTATTTGTGTCAGTGGGAGGAACTGTGTCCCGTCCAGGGCGGACTGACCATTTGGAAACATGGGCACTACCCGAGGGCCCGGGGTCAGTAGGGGGCCCCATGAGATGCCCTTTTTCATAGGATTTTTTGAGTGTGGGCAAGGACACAGGGGCCCAATGATCCCCTATTGCCCCATGAGTTGTCAGTCCGCCCCTGGTGTTCAGTAATCCAGTGCAAGCAATCATAGCTTCTAATGGTATCCATATGCAATACAGACTCATCTCTAAGACTGGGAACAAACAGAATGTTTATTGGTGCCTTTAGAGTCCCACTTTTTTCCCTTTATTTTCACCCGGTATTTCTGCCAGTAACACGCTTCCAATCCTAGGGTGACAACACTCACCGTCCTCCTGTATCAGACCAACAAAGGCATGGCAGGATTACTGAAGCATGTTCCCCTCCTATTCTCCCTAACATAGAAGAGTGTGGTTCTGTAGTCCTGTGGGAACAATGTAAGGGATAACAGTCAGCACATACAGAAAGCACATAAAGTTGGCAGGTCACAAGATTTCTGGCGAATATCAAAAAGTGAATTTTTTGTACTTATCAATCAGATATAACAAAAGTCTTTCAATGGTACTCTTAACAAATCAAAAGAGACCAAACTGTATGCTACGCATGTCGTTTGAAGCAATTCTGTCCATATTTTAAAATCTTAAAGTAGAACTATAGGCAAAATGGAAAATTCTATCAAATACTTACCGTAATTTACCTTACCTAGTGCCAAACCACGGCAGCATATTACCACATGTATGCTACCAAACTGGCGCCAGGAAAATGGAAAAACATGACATGTCGTAATATTCTGCCATGTTGGCACCAGCAAAACTTTTTTTTTCATTGTGGATAGTGTAAGGGAGGATTATAACCCCTGTCAGGTTTGTCCTATTGAGGAGATTTACCTTCCCTTCCTGTCCCATACCTGAAACAAGAAGTGAGAGGAAATACCTGCAAAATAAGAGAATCCCTGGGCCCCCCCCCCAGGTCACCTGAACTGGCATCCACATTAAAAGATTTCCCCTCTATTATTTTTCTGGAGACAACCCAAAATTTGGGATTTTCATTTACGTTCACTTTTGATGATAAACAATGGTAAACAGGGCAAATAGAGAGGATGAATCTCCCTAATAGGGACACAGACAGCAATAAAAACTGACAGGTGTTCTAACCCACCTCCGCTCTATCCAGAATTAACCCCTTGATGCCGAGCGCACGCAAATATGCGACCTCTCAGCGTCTGGGCCTTGATGCCGAGCAGCTGCATATTTGCATGCAATTAGAAAATACATATGTGCTGAGAGCACGTGCCCTGCGTGCTTCCAGCACATATGTCCGTGACTCATGGAAAGATCCCGATCTCTCCTTTCAATTGGGGCCTTTTCCGATCGTGTGACGGCGAATCACGGTGGTCACATAACCCAAAAACCCCACCCGCCTCCCGGCTTCTGAAACTCTTAAAGGGCCGGGAGGTGCCGGCGCAAATTGATTTAAAAAAAAGTTTTGCTTTTAGTTATACTTTAAAAAATTGGGCTTGCGGGTAAAAGGCAGCAAATACTACGTACCCGTCACATCTCCAAGGCAAACAATCTTTGCAGTCTTAAAGAGATAAGGCTGCTCAAGGATGTTCAGCACTTATTTAAACAACAAAATCATTATGTTTGATTGAACCTGGACACCCTGGTCTAATTGGTTTAAAAACTACAATTTAAGACACTAATGGCAAATCTCATACTTTGTGCACGACTTAACCCGGTATTTATGGAATAATGAGCAGATTTATGTTACAACATGATTACGACAGAGGTTTTATCTTTTTTCCTATATGTTTAGACCTTTTATAGTCTTTTTATAACATAAGGATACTATGATATCCTGCTTATAATGAACGTTAGGAGTTACCCAGCACTTTCTGTTTGTATATTCTCACTGTGATACAAATAAAGTTTTTTACATTTTTCTTACCCATATAATGTGTTTCTGAGATCATTATCATTTGTGATCTTATGATACTAATTGATCTGTTATTTTTCCTTTGCTCTTTTGCTCCTATATTATCTCTTATTTAGAAAACTAAATAAAAATGTATTGAGAAAAAAAAAAAAAAGAATATTCAACACTTTGCGACACATTGGATGCCATGTCCCCCACTGTGGTTCTGCACTGCAGCCACTATGTCACTACCCTGCAAGTAGAGGGGCCAGAAAAAAAGCACAGATTGGCAGAGCAGACATTGGAACATGTAAGTATTGTTTTCTTTATAGGTAGGCCTCTTTTTCATATACTGCGACCAAGTGTCTTTAAATTTTGGGACGGGTCTTTATTGTTATCTGAGATCCCACTGGGGAGATTTTCCGTCAAGTCTCCTCCTGGGGGCTGATGACAAATCCATCAAAGAGAGGACAAATTGAAAGTTCAGCTAGAAAAAAAGCCCTGGGAGTCACCTTGGCAGGAAGTGAAGGTAAATTCCAATAGTGGGGTACAGCAGTAATGAAAACTTTAAAAACCAAGCAAATTCTTGCCCACTCTATTCAAAACATTAAAACAATTCCACTGTAACTACATTTCTATAGTTCTGATTGGTTGCATTGAACTACAGAACATCTTTGATTTCAGTCACTGAACACACCTTCTGTTTACCCCACCCTACTCACCAGTTCACAAGAGCAGTTTATGGATCCTACAGAGATATTTTAAAAAAAAGCATACTGTAACTTTGGCTTAAATCAAACTTGTATAAAACTGAATTACTTAAAGGCTTTGCTCACCCAACACTGATATTCCTCTTGTTGGGTAGATGCTGAAGTTAAACCACCTAATAATCTTTTATAAGTCTTGGGGACTCAATTGGTGAGATCTTTGTGGCGAGTTCCTGGCTCTGCTGTAGCCAATATAAGGGGTTCCCCTCTCTCCCTGTTGGATTGTAATATTTATTTTATATTACAGAGAATGCAGCTGAAGGAGCGGGAAAGCACAAAGGTTGGTGGGAACACACAAAAACACCAAGTGGGTGAGTCAGACATGGTTGGAAGATCTCAGTGTTGGAATATCCAAGACTTATAAGAAGCCACTGCTTACCCAGCCCATTTATTTCCACCTATTAGTAAAATATCACCATTAGGTGGATCAACCTTTTAAACTTCAAGTTAGAGGAATGTAGCTCTCAGCAAACACTTGAAATGACTTGTTGCAATATGGCTCACATAACAGATCTCATAACAGTACCAACTGCTTGCTGGCAAATAATGGCAGCTTACTTGCAGAGAAGAAAAAAACCACACAGTGCCACTTTATAAGAATTGATTAAGAGGAAGTTAAGCAAACTAGAGGATACACCGAGGGCTTTCATTTTCAAAATGTTGCAATGTGTTATGGCTTTGCTTGCTGGGTTATATCATTCCACTCTTCTCTTCATGCATAGGGTTTCTGGGTGACGGCTTTCCAATCAAATGTTCCTTCTCTTGAATAAGGCTGTCCACCAGCTCTTCCTGTCTGTAATTGTGGTAGACCTTCAAGAATGCAAGGATAGTAATTCCCAGCCACGCAAGCCAGGAAGCCCAAAGACCAAACTAGAAAAAGACAAAAAACATTATCGTTGTTGGTAATTGCTCACACAGTGAAAGCAGATCCAACATAAACACAAAAATGGAATGTATTGCAGCTTAGCGGTCCTTATATGTGGTGGCTGCATTCGTTTTCTCCTTTTTCAGATTTGAAAATAAGGATTTTCAGCAACAGAAAAAATACCTAATCTTGCCAGAAATACAGTGCTCTTATCAATTCCTCTGAGCTGAACAATGAGCTGACTTTCAATGTTAGCTTACAGGCAGTTTCATACTGCTGCGCTGTGATTTGTCCGTGTAACCTGTGGTTTTCATGCAGGTTACCCACAGTTTCCCATAGACTTCTATTAGCTTGTGTGTTTCTGAAAGCACACCAAAGATGCAGCATGCAGGAATTTTGGCTAATTTTCAAAAGACGCACCAAAGCTCATTCTAATAGAAGTCTATAGGAAACTGCAGGTTCATTGTGCTAAACCCATGCTGCGGCCAAACTGCAGCGGGGCAGTGTGAATTCACCCTTACCTCACAGCATTGTAAAAAATTAACTATCACCCTCCCATTTATTGGAAATCAAGATATGACAGTGGCTGGTAGTCCTGTGTTAGTGCGACAACAAGAGCTCCTTCTAAAGGCACAGTGAGTGAGCGTTGTCACTCCAGGACAAGAGGTGTGCTACTGACAGGATCACCAAGTGAAAATAAATTAAAGCAGCAGTAAACCGCACTTAAAAACAAAAAAAAAAGTTTCCCCCTGCAAGGTAATGTCATAATGTGCTACTATGCATCACATACTAGCACATTATGAAGAACTTACCTTAAACCGAAGCCCTCCAGCAGCACGCTGTCACCACTGCAGAGGTTTCCATCTTCACCCGTTCTTCCTTCTGGGCTCGCGAGCTCTGGCCATCTGACTGGCTGAGCCGTGATGACGTCACTCTAGTGCATGTGCACAGGAGTCCTGGACCATGGCACAGTGCTCTGAAGGAATGTCACAGCTATGCCGTTCCTTCACAGTGCATGCGCTGGCTGTCAAAAGAAGCGAGTATCTCCTAAACTCGTTGGTTGAATCCCAACCACAGCACCACCTGCCTGGAGTTTGCATGTTCTCCCTGTGCCTGTGTGGGTTTCCTCTGGGTAATCCAGTCTCCTCCCACACTCAAAAGACATGCTGGTAGGTGAATTGGTTCCTGTCTAAATTGGCCCTAGTATGTGTATGTATGAATGTGAGTTAGGGACCTTAGATTGTATGCCCTTGAGGGTTAGGGACTGATGTGAATGTACTATACAGTGAGGAACAGAACTATTTTACACCCTGCGATTTTGCAAGTTCTCCCACTCAGAAATCATGGAGGGGTCTGTAATTCACATTGTAGGTGCATTCCCACTCTGAGAGACAGAATTTAAAAAAAAAATACAGGAAATCACATTGTATGATTTTTAAAGAAAATTAAAAAAAAAAATCAGATACAATAGAGAAGGAATAACACTCTTATCAGATCTTTATTGCTGACCCCACTAGGTAGATCAGTGGTTGTCATCTCATTAGATAATGGGGGCCTCAAATGCAGCCCCTGACATCACCAAAGGGCTGCACACAGGGGCGGACTGACCATTCGTGCGCTCGGGCACTGCCCAAGGGCCCGGGGTCAGTAGGGGGCCCCATGAGATGTCCCTGGTACCTTTCATTGGATTTTCATAGGCTTTTTTTGGGTGTGGGTGAGGACACAGGGGCCCCATGATCCCCTATTGCCCGGGGGCCCCATGAGTTGTCAGTCCGCCACTGGCTGCACATAATGTTCAATACATGTAATGCTTGACTGTCAGAGACTGCAGACCTAGTACAGCAACTAATGGTCAGACTGGGGACATAAGTTTTTTGGTTGGGGATGGCTGTAGAAGACAATATAAAACTGGGAACATGTTACATGAGGCTAGTAGAGATCAACGCTATTACCCTAATCAATGTTCCCACTATAGACTGCAGAGGTCCAAGGGCCACATATCTTATACCAAAGGGTCACATGTGGCCCTCTGGCCATAGGTTGTGCACCAGGGAGGTAGATTCATGCTCTCTGTTTGTCCTGATAAAGTTTGTCACAGAGAAATACATTTATAAACAATCCAATATGTTATAGTTGTCACTGAAACAGGAATAGGTGGAAGAGCTTCCAATGGAGACACCTGTTCCAGTGAGATCTACATAAAGAGGATGTAGCTTACTTTTTAAGACATTTTTCTCTCACTTCTTGTCCCATGTTTTGGTTATACATACGGTTCGACCTCTTGTTGGTGGCACTATAGCCGAATAACAGTTACAGCACAGTCGTCCAGTTCTGGGAGGGGGTCATATGACATCCTCCCAGAACAGCCCCCCTCCCGCAAGCCCACAGCGGCGTGCACCTGGCACTCTGTGTTAGCTGTGTCCATTGAACACAGCTGATCACATGACATGGCAAAGGGTCAATGGCAGTGGCCGCTTACCATGTGATCAGCTTTGTCCAATCACAGCTGATCACCATGTAAACACACTTGTCGGTTATCCGCAGTACTTTCCTTTTCCTTACTCTGAGGAAAGTACTTCTGATACTGGCAAGTCTTAAAGTAGACATCTACACTGATAATCAGTGCCCTGATTATCAGTGCAGTCCCAAAAATGCCCATCTGTGCTGCTAGTCAGTGCCACCTATCAGTGCTGTCAGTCAGAGCCGTCTATCAGTGCGGCAAGTCAGTGCCACCTATCATTGCCTTTCAGTGCTGCCATTAGCACCCATCAGTGCCGCCTATCAGTGCCCATCATTGCCCACCAGTGCCACATATCAGTGCAGCATCATCAGTGCCTTCTTATCAATGCCCACCAGTGCCGCCTCATCAGTGCAGCCTAACAGTGCCCATCAGTGCTGCCTATCAGTGCCACCTCATCAGTGCAGTCTATCAGTTTCCAAACTTTTATAATAGAACCTAAGAAAAACATTTTTTTTTGGTCTATTTTTGTTTATTTAGCAAAAAACAAGCACACAGTGGTGGTTAAATACCACCAAAAGAAAGCTATATTTGTGTGAAAAAAATTATAAAAATTTCATATGAGTACAGTGTTGCATGACCACGCACTTGTCATTCAAAGTGCAACAGCACTGAAAGCTGAAAATTGGCCTGAGTGTAAAAGTGTTTAATAACCTCAGAAGCTCTGAAGTGTAAAGTATTACAAGCCAAAAACTACTGGGAGTCATCTTTTAATTAATGTACGCCGATCAGCCGTAACATTATGACCATCCACCATAATCCAACAGGGCATGGATTCCACTAGACTTCTGAAGGTATGCTGTAATATCTGGCATCAAGCTGTCTGAAGCAGATCCGATCCTTTAAGTCTTGAAAGTTGTGAGGTGGGCACCCCATGGTTTGGACTTGTTTTTCAAACACCCTACAGATGCTTGATTGGAGTCTGCAGAATATGGATGCCGAGTTAATACCTTGAACACGCTATTGTGTTCCTTAAACCAGGGGTTAAAATTTCGAGTCCAGACCTACTAGCCCGGAGGTCTCCAAACTATGGCCCTCCAGGTGTAGAGGAACTGCAAGTCCCATGAGGCCTTGCAAGACTTTGGCAGTCCCAACAAGACTCCCAGAGGCAGAGGCATGATGGGACTTGTAGTACTGCAATAGCTGGAGGGCCATAGTTTGAAGACCCCTGTACTAGCCGGTCACAAAACTTACTCTCCACCAGTTGCCCCACCCAACTTTGCCTAGGTCCGCCCACAATATACATTACTGAGTAATGTATATCCCAGCTCCCCTGTACTCCATTATAGTGATATGACATGTATACAGTACTTACTGTCCCTCCGAGTCCCCCGTAGCGGTGGAGAGGGTGTCTCCTCTCAGCGGAGGAGAGCGGACCTCTCCTGCACCTGTCCCCTCAGCGGTGGTGCCGCAGAAGCCGGAAACCAGAAGTTGTAAACCAGGACTTGGCTTCAAAATGAAGCTTGGAGCGCATGTGCAGTCGCTCCATGCTTCATCTGTGCTCGCCGCTCGCCACAGAGGAATTTTCTCCTCGCATTTGGCGAGCAGGTGAGCGGCTTTTTCAAGCCCTGCCTTAAACCATTCTTCAATTCATCAGACCAGGTCACCTTCTTCCATGGCTCTGTAGTCCAGTTCTGATGTACCCAATGTAGGACTTTTGGCTGTGGACAAGGGTCAGCATTGGACACCCTGACCGGTCTGCAGATACACAGCCCCATACAAAACAAACCGCGATGCTCTATGTGTTCTGATACCTTTCTATCAGAACCAGCATGACATTTTTCAGCAGTATAAGCTACAGTAGCTCTTCTATTGGATCAAACTACACAGGCCAGCCTTCGCTCCCCAAGAGCATCCATGAGCCTTGGGCACCCATGACCCTGTTGCTGGTTTTTCACTGGCCCACTTTTGGTAGGTCCTGACCACTGCAGAGCTTGTGGGAACATCCCACAAGGGCTGCAGTTTTGGATTTGCTCTGACCCAGTTGTCTAGACATTACAATTTGGTCCTTGTCACTCAAATCCTTACACTTGCCCATTTTTTTTTTTGTGCTTTCAACACATTAAACTCAGGGACAACATGTTCACTTGCTGCCTAATATATTCCACCCACTTTCAGATGCCACTGTTACAAAATAATCAATGTTATGCACATTACCTGTCACTGGTCATAATGTTATGGCTGATCAGTTTATAGCACATGTGTACCAAATTGTGCGAACTTTTGCCCAGATTTTTCTCTACATGTGCTGAGGGAACACACAGTCTTCTGCATACGATCACTCTCTACAGTCTGGCCTCACTGCCGTAGGAATGATATGTTTTACCCAAATGTGACAGCAACTTGTCCTGGGCCATGGATTAGTGACATGGATTACAGCACATATTTCTAAATTTGATATCTGATTCTCACTCGTTGTTAAGTTGATAAACACAATGCGTTGGGTAAGGAAATACTGGACATTAAAGGCAGACTTGCAATAATAAGCCTGCCAGCCTTTGTTTGTATATTTGATGAAATGTAAAAGTCATCTTGAAAGTCATATCAGGTGATACCACTGCAAGGTAATACTCTCAAAAGGCAACTTTGCAAATCTATGAATGGAGCCCTTAGAAAATCAATGGCGCGTCTTTTATACCCGCTATTTGCATTTAAATTGGGTAAATGAGATGGGGTTTTCAAGAACATGATGCTTTCACAAGGTCAGAATCAGAATCTTTGTCAATCAATCCTGTAACAATATTTTACTAACCTATGGGTGTCATAGTGAAATTACATGGATGTGCAAGATGAAGTGCAGAAATACGTGGTGAAGAAAAATATTCTGGTGGAGTATTATATAAAGTGTACCTGTCAGCAACATAAACATAAATAACTGGGTACAGAAGTAAAATTCAAGTGCCTTCTGGGGAAACTATAACATACCAATTATGACACATAGGGGTTGATTTACTAAAACTGCAAAATCTGGTGCAGCTGTGCATAGAAACCATTCAGATTCTGGGTTTTTTTTGTCAAAGCATAATTGAACAAGCTGAAAAGGAATCTAACTGGCTACTAGGGATGCACCAATATACCGGCCAACGAAAATCATCAGTCGAAAATAGGGTTATCAATATGCTAATCATGCTGAATGGCATGCTGCGTTCAATAGACTTCAATGCAAAATCACATCCCACAGACTCAAAAATCACAATCCCAAATGCAAAATCGCATCCCATAGACTTCAATGCAAAATCGCATCCCACTGACTTCAAAGCAAAATTGTGTCCCACTGACACCAATGCAAAATTGCGTCCCATAGACTTCATTGCAAAATCGCATCCCATAGACTTCAATGCAAAATTGCATCCCACAGACTTCAATGCAAAATCCTTTATTTAAGTTATAGCACTAAGAAATTTATTTGGTTTCTTTGAGGTGGAATTTCTTTTTCTTTCAATGCAAAATCGCATCCCATAGACTTCAATGCAAAATTGTGTCCCATAGACTTCAATGCAAAGTCGTGTCCTATAGACTTCAATGCAAAATAGCTTCCCATTGACTTCAATGCAAAAAACACCCCTTAGTGACTTCAATGCAAAAACGCATCCAATAGGCTTCAATGCAAAATCACGTCCCATAAACTTCAATGTAAAATCACGACCCGTAGACTTCAATCCAAAATTAGGTCCAATAGCCTTCAATGCAAAATTGTGTCCCATTGACACCAATGCAAAATCGCGTCCCATAGACTTCAATGCAAAGGCGTGTCCTATAGACTTCAATGCAAAATAGCCTCCCATTGACTTCAATGCAAAAACACCCCCTAGTGACATTCATAGTGACGCCATTCACATTAATTAAATTTACAAAAAAAAAAAATTAAACTGTCAGTTTTGGTTTTCGGCCAAGTGCACCTTGAATTTTTGGTTTTGGCACCAGAATTTTTATTTCAGTGCACCACTATTGGCTACCATTCACAGCTGCACCACATTTTGCACTTTCCTGTTTTAGTAAATCAACCCCATAGTGGTACGGACTTACCACAGCCATACTGTTGCTTTAAAAAATGTATAAAGTACAGTGGGGGCAGGATGAGTGCTGAGTCACATGACAAGTCATGTGACCGGCCTCTCCTCCAATCATGCACAGAAAACTCCATGGGACACAAGTTCTACGCCATGGCATGTATTTTACAAATAACACCTAAAACGCAGGTGAAGTGTGGAGTGTACATTGCGTTGTCCAGCAGAGACAGGATATCGGTTTCCACTATAAATAAGCCCCTGAGAGTTAAAAGTTGGTCCTGTGGGAGACGCTCTGCTATTGGCACTGCTAGGAATACTGTATATTAGATTATATTAGCTCTCCTGAGACACGTGAGAAGAGATTTACTGACTGCTGTACTTTAGGGATTAGTACATTCACAAGTGACATTTCAGTAATGGATGAAGTCTGGTGGGCTAAGTAATCTGATGATTGCTTTTAAAGAATATGTAAACCCAACATATTCCTGATATGTGCCTGCTGTACCATGTACTTCTATGAAAAAGTCTCCTGTTCTCTTTGTATTGCTTCCTTTGTGTGTTTCTGCCAGACCCTCTGCTTTCCTATTAAAAAATGGCCACACTAGGCAGGAGAACACAGTGTGGTCAGTAAGGAACTCAATCTGCTCTCCTCCAATGATCAGACTTGTCCTGTCCCCCCCCCCCCCTCCACCCATACAGCCAGTTTAGTGTGCTGTTTTTTCTCCTCCCCCAGCTCTCTATGTAGCTGAAAACAGAGGATATGTGATCACTTATAAAAAATGGGAAAGACGGTGTTTGTGTTTTTTATGTCTATACACACACTTTTTGCCTTTCATTTCTATTTTAAACTGAACTGGTTGTTTTACAAGGTGAGAGTTCACATATACTTTAAGTCTTCGGGACCCCATTATTGAGCTGTCCAATCTTCTTACTCACCATGGAGTTTTGGGTGCTGTCACCTAACTTTAGTTTTTTCTACTGCTACTGTGTTCTCCATAATATAAGAATTTAAAGCTCAAAGGTCACACTGGACGCCCTCAAAAGTGCTGCAACAGTTGCACAGACTTAGGAGGTCAGCTATGGAAATCTTATCTCTGAATTCCCCAAAACATGAAAAAAATAGTAATTAAAATTTTGAGCATCTACAAAAAAAACTGAAATGTCAGTTTTGCATGGGTGGACTTTTCAGTATAAGTATGCTTTGCTTTGTATAAGTCGTAATACGTTAATCAAATGAACTTCTGCTCTACAGTTGACCAATTCATCCCATATACTGTATGTATTGTGAGGGATTAGCCCAGTAGCGGGTTCTGCTTGACCCCCTAGATGAGTCAGAGCAGGTGAAAGAGGCTCAGCACGACAGCAGGATCTTGGGGAATAAAGTTGTGCTTTATTTACAAGGCTGGTGAACACACGGTGCATAAATTCAAAAACAGAAAAATAAACAAAAACATAAAATAAAGCCTTGCCACACTGGGCATCTAACTGCACACACAGATTCCTATCTACCTGTCTGGATACAGCCTATCGCTGCTCAGACACAGAGTGTTCACACAGTCCAAAATCACACAGATTTTGGCTGACTATACAATTTTCTGTCCAATTTCTGCCCAATTACCTTTAGATTTACCTTCAACTATATAGTGCAAGGGCTTGCCCGATTGGATACAACTGAAAGTGTTCTTTAGGTTTGACCTCATATTATATGGTTTTTGGTAAATCTAAAGCAAAATTCTCAAGAAAATTGTATAGTGTATGGCCAGCCTTATGCAGGCCATAGATGGGTCAAAAATCGGCCGATTTTTCGCCCGAAAATAAAATCGGCCGATTTTCAGATCGTTAGTGGGCTAATTGTTCGGCTGTTTTTCAGTATTTTGGCAGATTTTTTTTATCGGTAAAGTTTGAAAAAAATCGGCCGATTTTGCCAATCGGCCGATTTTCGCGGCAATGATGGAGAAATCGGCTGATCTTTTTACCAATAAAAAAATCTGCGCATGAGCAGTGACCTGCAAGAGGAAGACAAAAAGAAGAAGAAAAAAGAAGGAGAGGATGAAGAAGAAGAAGAGGAAGAGGAAGAAGAAGAGGAAGAAGAAGAGGATGAAGAAGAAGAGGATGAAGAAGAAGAGGAAGAAGAGAAAGAAGAGGATGAAGAAGAGGATGAAGAAGAAGAAGAGAATTCCAGTCCAGCAAAAAGTGTCCCTGCAGAGAGCTCCGCTATTTCTTTGACAGTTCCTTGACATTTATAGCGGTTGCAACATTGTATCTCTTTGTTTCCAAATAAAAACATCTGTATCCTAAATGGATACAAATAGATACATTGTTGCAGCCGCTATAAATGTCAAGGAACTGTCAAAGAAATAGCAGAGCTCTCTGCAGGGACACTTTTTGCTGGCTGTAGACGGGATGAAAATCGGCCGATTTTTTTTACCACTGCTGGTAACGTCGGCCGCTTGAACGACTGATTTTTCATTTTTTTTTAAAAAAAATCGGCCGATTTTTGACCCATCTATGGCCTGCATTACTCTCACCACAGTATAGTTTGGTTGCTCCCCAGCCTGTCCAGCACAGCAAACTGGTTCCAGGTTGGAGCATTCTCTCTATGCAGCTTGGGAGTTATATAGAGCCCAGAGCCCTTAACGCACTACAGCTGAGCTAATGACATCATCAGTGAGCCACACAGGCTCACTACACAGCACAACAGGAGAAACAGTCTGTGTTGTGTAGAGCATGGACCTGGGACAAATATACCTCCCATCCTGGACACATCCCTTAGTTCTTGCTGACCTCCTGTCACAGTATGTATGTATATTTGGAGAGACACAGAAAGGAAGTTTACAAGATTTATAAACTTTTTATTTTAATAACTACTTACCTGGGCAATTGCAAACTGGTCATAGAAAGATGAATTTTCTAGGTTAAGTTCAAGATCTCTGTCCTGGAGTTCTTCGCAGCTTTGGGAAGTTACAAAGCATATGATCAGATAAGTCAGAAAGTAAATGATAGAAAAACAAATGTTTGTTTCCTAAAGGAAGGTATTTGAAAGGACGAAAAAGTGAGAAGAGCAGTCAACCTTTCCAAACAATCAGTGGAAATATGTACTTATTATGTCGGAAACAGGTCACTTAAAGTGTTACTAAACCCAGGACCCTGCATTCACTATATCTGGTCTCCCACAGTACACACAACATGGAAATGCAATTATTTTAGTAAATATAAACTGCTAAATACCTTTTCTCATCAGCAGTTAGTCTTGTGACTTCTATTAAGTGTTCAGCTGAGCACAAGTTAAAGCTTGTAGGAGGAGTTTTCATTTTGCTCTTGGAGGATGCAGAACCCCTGACCTCTGTCTGGACAGTGCTGATTGGCCCTGTGCTGATCACATGCGCTCTCCCAAGGAAAAAAAAAAACCTCTTTGGCAATACACACCAAACTGAGAATGCGCAGAGTGACTCCTCACAATATGTCTTATCAGGAGATAAGAAGTTGATACTGGAAAAAGGGGAGTCAGGATCAAACAGCGTTTTTATACACAGTGAGTATACCAAGCATGCTTTAGAGGATATACAGACTGATTTCACTGTTGTGGGTTTAAAGTGTACTTATCGCCAAAAATATTTTATTTTTTTACTTTTGAATAGTGTGGAAAGAGAATCCCTCTTAGATATTTAATGCTGTCTGTGTCCCAAGATTCTCCATTTGTCCTGGTGATCCTTGTCATCATTGTCACTGAGAAACAAAGTGACAGGAAATCGAACATTTTACACCCCTCACCAGAAGAAAAGGGAAGCGGAAAGCTGCCAAATAAATCTTCCACTTGATTCCTTGACAATTGTCTAAGGCTACAACTGCACCGGCGATTTGGCCCCATGCAAACTGCAGCGGGAGTAATCCTCTGACTCATATTGCTACTGTCAGTGGCTAGCTGTGGCCGCCGAGCCTGTCCACTATAATAACAGATGGTCGGTGGCCGCAGCTATTTGCAGCTGTCCGTACAGCCAGAAATTACCTGCAGTGATCATTGCTGGACACACTTTGCATCCAGCATCAATCACCACAGGTAATGGCTGCCCGTGTAGACAGCTGCAAATAGCTGTGCCCACCTGTGATTATAGTGAACCGGCATGGCAGTTGCTGACAGTAGCAGCAGGGAACAGAAGATTGCAGTTGGCAGTCGGGCTAATTCCCCCGTGCCAATGTAGCCTAACAGGGGATTTCCTCTCACTTTGGGGAGATTTCTTCTTTTAGCAGAACTTCAGCTAAAAGGAGAAGTTCCATTTATCTGCCTTCCCCTCCTCTTTAACATTTGGCACTTCATTTTTTTTTTTGGAGGGGGGGGGGGGGTGGATACCTGGTCTTGACAGGTACCCACTACCGCTTACTCCCAGAACGCCATGGGATCCGAAAGGATGACCACTCCCCTCTTCCCCTGCAGCCTTCTGGGACACATGGCGGGTCCCAGAAGGCTGTGGGGCTATTCATAAAGCGCAGCACGGCTTGTTCTTGAACAGTGGGAAGTCGCAAAGAGTCATAGCCGGCTTCCCACATTAAACATGCCAGCGCCAGGGACTGGCAAAGAGCAGGCTGGGATCAGGACAGCACTGGATCTCTGGATAGGTGTCCTATTATCAAAAGTCAGCAGCTACAGTATTTACAGTTGTGCTCAAAAGTTTGCATACCCTGGCAGAAATTGTGAAATTTTAGCATTGATATTGAAAATATTACTGATTGTGCCAAAAAATGCTCTTCAGTGGCATATTCAAGGCTTTGGACATCTTTTTATGTCCTTTTCCATCTTTATAAAGTTCCATTACCTTGTTAGGCAGGACTTTTGACAGTTCTTTTCTGATCCCCATGGCTCAGTATCTAGCCTAGTCAGTGCTTCCGTGTAAGAGCTAACAAACTCATTGACTATTTATACACTGACACTAATTGCAATTTTAACCTCTAATTGGCATTTTAACCCGTGTGTGTCTGTACCAAGGCCAAACATTCCAGGAGAGGGAAACTTTTGATCCGGGCCATTTGGGTGATTTCTGTTATCATTATGATTTAAAAAGGAGCCAAACAACTATTTGATAATAAATGGCTTCATATGATCATCACCCTTCAATAAAAGAGCATTGTTTGACATGATCAGTCAGATTTTCAATATCAATGCCAACATTTCACAATTTCTGCCAGGGTATGCAAACTTTTGAGCACAACTGTATAGCTTCTGACTTTGAATTTTGAATTTCTAGGGTGAAGAACCGCTTTCATTTCTGTTGCATCTTCAGGACAAGAAATGAAATAAAATCTTTCCATTAGGACACGGACAGCAAAAAATAAACTTAAAGCTGAATTCCAACTATAGGTGTTTCTGTATATTTACACTGGTCCTGAATGGACCAATGTAAGTTTATATATGACATACCTGTCCGATCCCTGTGGAAGCGGACAATCACTGTAGTAGCCACAGCTACTACAGTGGCCTTCGCTATTGTCTGGGTCTCATGTTGAGAAACTGCACTGCTGCATAGTAACCACAGGCAGTCGCTTAATCAAGCACCAATCAGAGAAAGCCTTGCATTTCCCTCAATGAATGCAAAGCATTCTCCTATTGGAGGAGGATCATTTTAATAGCATTGGCTACTACAGTGATTCTCTGCTTCCACATGGATCAGCTAGGTATGGACTAGGTATACTTATATTAGTCCAAGTCAGACCAATGCAAGTATGCAAAAAAATCCATGCTTAGAGTTCAGCTTTAGCTCTTGCTATCTAACAATTTTGGCATACATACACTTCAATAGCCAGCTTCCCTGTTTCTGCTTTATATTTTCTTCTATTCGTTGCTGCTTTGTTTACCTGTTAGAGCAGAATACCTGCTATGTCTGGGTACAGAGAGTAGGTGGCTTTCTACTCTTCTTCCCATGATGCAGTGGTGCAATTGGCAGGGCTGGGGGCTGTTACTTGGGGGCAGGTAGAGAGTACTTAGCCCTGTGCAAGTTAGATAGACTTTGAGCATGAATGGGGATATTTTTTTTTACTTGGCTCCAACAGGGGACCAAGGAAGCAGAACAGTGAATGATAAAAGCGTAAAAGGGGCAGCGATTAAGAATCTTTTATTTTCCCCAGAATGGTAAAAGTAAAGGTTCACAATAAACTGTAAAATGCTGAAAGCTGGTGGGTTGCTATAAAGAATACAATATAACTAGTCTTTGCTCTTCTTAAATATGATCTTTATCCAGGCATGGAAGAGGATCCAAGAAATGTGATTTATAGAGCCAGCTTATAGATTTCAGGCTGTCAGTGCGATATTAGACTCCAGGCTTAAGTCATATATAGTCCGGTAAATCTTCACTTAAAAGGATTGGAATTGAATTAATTGTGTACAAAGCTGGAGAGTGACCGCTGATATGCTTTTGGGATTAGTAAGACCTAATGCTTACCATAAGGACTCCAGTGCTGACAGTACAGCACAATACCAAGGCGATTTAAAGCAAACCTTTCCTAATAGCAATGAAGGACCAGTCACTGCTATCCTCCTTCTGAAAATACTAGTTGCCTGGTTATTATGTAGAACCACTGGCTTCAATAGCTTCAGTCACTAAGCCAGAAGAAGTATGCATATCAGGAAGGTTGGAGAAAAGTCAGAGGTTCTTGTCTACTCTGAGGAAGAGGTTCTGCCTCGAAACGCGTCAAATGTGGAGGCCTACAGTCCCTCAACAGCCACCATCTAGGGAGATTGGACCATGCTGTCTTTTTTCTGATGTGCCTTTGAATTTATTCTTTTGTGAGTATACTACTTTTTATTCAATAAATCAAATTTTTAGAAGGTAATGCACTAGGCCTGTGAGCCCTGTTTGTTTCTTTGCACACAGGTTCTTGTCTACTTACTTGTTTCTGAGTCAGTGTCTCTAAAGCTGGCTTTACACTATTAGATTTTATTTCATTCAGCCTGCGAGCTATATAGTGCAGGATGATAAATCTCCCACATGGCTACTGTTTTCTGACACTCGGCTAAATCAACACCTGAGACTCTTTGTTATGTCCCTCAAACAATTCTTGAGCCATTTTTGCAGTGTGGCAGGGTTCATTATCCTGCTGAAGAAGGCCACTGCTGTTTCCATGAAGGGGTATACTTGGACAACAACAATGTTTAGATAGGTGGTAAGTGTTAAGTAACATCCACATATATGGCAGAACCCAAGGTTTCCCAGCAGACCATTGCCTAAAGTATCACACTGCCTCCGCCGGATTGCCTTCTTCCCATACTGCATCCTGGTGCCATCTCTTCCCCAGGTAACCGACACACACACGTGTCCATCCACATGGTGTAAAAGAAAATGTGATTCATCAGACCAGGCCACCTTTTTCCATTGCTCTGTGGTCTAGTTCTGATGCTCACATGCCCACTGTAGGCACTTATGGTTGTGGACACGGGTTAGCATACACAACAACCTGCAGCGTCTATATTTTCTGCTTTCAACACAATAACTTCAGGAACAACATGTTTATTTGCTGCCTAATATATCCAACCGACTTTCAGATGCCATTGTAATGAGATAATCAATGTTATTCATTTAATCTGTCGACTGTCATAAAGTTAAGGCTGACCGGTAAGATAGAGAATGATTGAGACCTGTCCCAACATTTTTTATATATATATATATATATATACATACATATATACACACACAGTACTATGTGTTAATTTACAAAATGCAAAGTGAGCAAACAGAAGAAAAGTCCAAATCAAATCAACATTTGGTGTGACTATCCTTTGGTTTCAAACCTGCATTAATTCAATTCATCAAGCTCTTTTGAAGAGACTGGCAAAAAGAGAAGAGAAAAAGGACCCGGCAATGTTGAGAACCGTAGGCGCAGTGGTCGGCAAGGAAACTTAATGCAGCAGATGGAAAAATGGAAGACACATCATGCTTACTTTTCTTCAACATCGGAAGATGTCCAGCAGTGCCATCAACACAGAACTGACGGTAACCAGTTGGAACAAGGTACACCCATCTACTGTTTGGAGAAGTCTGGTCAGAGGTGGTCTTCATAGAATTGCAGCCAAAAAGCCATACCTCCGACATGGAAACAAGGCTAAGCGACTCAACTATGAAGGAAAACAAAGGAACTGGGGTGCAAAAAAATGGCAGCAGGTGCTCTGGACTGAAATATGTGGCTGTAGCAGGAGGCAGTGTGTTTGCCGAAGGACTGAAGAACACTACAATATTGAAAGTCTGCAAGAAACAGCGAAAGCATGGTGGATGTTCCTTGCAAGTTTGGGGCTGCATTTCTGCAAATTAAGTTGGAGATTTGGTCAATGGTGTCCTCAATGCTGAGAAATACAGGCAGATACTTATCCATCATGCCATACAATCAGGGATGTGTGTGATTGGCCCCAAATTTATTCTGTAGCAGGACCATGACCCCAAACATACAGCCAATGTAATGAAAAGAGAAGTATGGGATTTAATTTGTTTCACAAATCATACTTACCTAGGTTGATGCAGCATCGGTCTAATGCTGAGTCTGTCTCCTGCCGACTCTAAGAGTGAGAACTCAGCGATCACATGACCGCTGATCACTGAGTTCTCACAGCTGCTCTGAGCAGAGAGCGGTAACTATCAGTCACCGTTGTCTGCTCTGCCCCCACCCTGCGTTCACAAGAGTGCTGGGCTGTGGAGGGGGAGGAAGCGACTGGCTCAGGCTCTCAGCGGTCTGCTGAGAGGCTGAGTCATGTGCCACTCCAGATTTGGGGCGGATCCCGACTTTAAAGTCGGGATCTTTCCCCAGCTTGGACTGGCTGAGTGATGTCAGCCGACAGTGGGCTTCAACCCACTGTCAGCTGAAAACGGGTCACAGGAGTGCAGAACGAACTGCACTCCTGTGATCCACAGTCCTTGAAATGATGGTGTGGCCCCCATGGAGCCCTGATCTCTACATCATGGAATCTGTCTGAAATTACATGAAGAGACAGAAGGATTTCAGGCAGCCTACATCAACAGAAGATCTGTGGTTAGTTCTCCAAGATGTGTAAAACAACCTACCTGCCGAGTTTCTTCAAAAACTGTGTGTAAGTGTACCTAGGGATATTAAAAAATTGATGCTGTTTTGAAGACAAAGGGTGATCACACCAAATGATGATTCATTGATTTGATTTGATTTAGATTTCTCTTCTGTTCATTTGCTTTGTTAATCAATAAAAAAGTAACATAAAAATTACATGGAGGCTCCATTGCTGACCTCTGCCCGGCTTTCATGCTGACCTTCTGGCACTAGCCCCGGAAAGATTGTAGATCAAGACTTGTGACATTTCTCCAACCTTCCTGACATAATATTCTGGGTTGATGATACAAGCTACTGAAGACATAGGTTGGACACAGCCAACTAACTAGAATTTTCAGAGGAAGGTCAGTACTGGCAGTTCCTGTATTTCCCCCACTGTAGGTTTAGTTCAAGTCGATTCCAATCATACCCATGTCCACAAAAACATGAAAAAGACAGCAGAGTCATTGTAAAATAGATTTTCTATTTTCAACTCATAAAAGGATGTCCATAAATCTTTTCCACCAACCTGTTGGGCATACTTCCTTTCTCCGTAATTGCGTCGCACCACATGTTAAACCCAACGCTCACGATGGTGCTGGCAATAAAGGTAACGAAAACCACAAAAGAGCTGATCAGCAGATTTAGGAAAGCGTAAAAGAAAGAGCTGTAATAAAAAAAAAGAAAGGTAATATAACTCATGGGAAACTCAAAGAATGCCATAAGCAGACGCTCCAAACAGCATCCAGCCAGCACAGAGCAGAAATAAGTGCTCTCCTAAGACATCTGTTTTAATTAATAACACAGCGGAGACACGGGAAAACTCAAGATTACTCTGCCCGAGCCTCATTATCCTTGTCACTTAAATACTCTATTTTTTTTAATCTAATGAGATTCTACATCATAAATCCTAAACCGTCTTCTAACCATGTATCCCATTGCTCAATCACAAACAGGTAGAAGACAGGATTCAACACCTACAGTGATTAAAGTACACTGCTGTCCTACATGTTTGTCTTTAATGTTGTAACAGAGGACTGTAAAAAAAGACATAAAGCAGAACTAAAGCCACAAACAAAAAAGTAATATATTGCAGTTTACTAGATACAGTCATGGCCAAAATAGTGGCACCCAGGGGCGGACTGACCATTTGGAAACTCAGGCACTGCCCGAGGGCCCGGGGTCAGTAGGGGGCCCCATGAGATGCCCCTGGTACCTTTTTCATAGGCTTTTTTGAGTTTGGGCAAGGACACAGGGGCCCCATGATCCCCTATTGCCCGGGGGCCCCATGAGTTGTCAGTCCACTCCTGGTGGCACCCCTGCATTTCTGTCAGATAATGCACCACTTTGCACAGACAATTGGTGCAATTACAAATGTTTAGGCATTCTCATGCTTATTTCTTTTGTTTGTATTGGTATGACAAAAAAAAAAGTGAAGAAACAAAAAGCCAAATCTGACACATTCCACGAAAAAAAAAAAAAAAATGGACTAGACAAAAATACTGGCACCTTCTCAAAACTGTAAAAAATAATTGCATTCCACATTTTGTGATGCTCCTGTAATTTTTAATTAGCCTCTTCACACCGACAGTACGCAAATATGTGGCCACTCGGCGGCTGGGCCTTGATGCTGAGCGTCCGCATATTTGCGCACCATTTGTAAACAAACTCCCAGCACATGTGTTGGCGTTCCAAGGAAAGGTCCCGATCTCCCGGTCTCCTTGCGATCGGGACCTTTCCGATCATGTGACTGCCGTGACAGCCAATAATGGTGGTCACATGACCCTAAACCCCACCCCGCCTCCCGGCATCAGAAACATTTTTGGAGTTTTGCATGGTATAAGATTTGGCTTTTTGTTTCTGCACTTTTTTGTGTCATACCAATACAAACAAAGCAATAAACATGAGAATGCCTAAACATTTGTAATTGCAACAATTTTCTAGAAGTGGAGCATCATCTGACAGAAATGCAGGGGTGCCAATATTTTTTGGCCAAAACGGTATGGTGGCTGCATTACTTTTCAGTCAAAGATCATTTTCAGCAAGTACAGAAAATATCCGTTGATCGCATCATAAATGCAATGTCCTTATCAATTCCTGCACGCTTAATAGAAAGATAAACAATCATATCTTTGTATCTTTGTTCTGTAAACGAATAATTCTCCCAACCCCCATGGCTGGAGATGAACAAAAGCAGACACATTTTAAGTCCAATGTGAAGAACAACTGTGGCTCCATCCGTATAGATGGGTGGTTTTGCCACCCAGGGACAAGAAGTGTGGTAACTGCAGGATTACCAGGTGAAACAATGTGGGGAAAAAAAGAATAAAAAAAAAAAAATACTGCTGCACAAAAAAAATGTTTTGGAGCCTGGATCTGTTTTAAAGTATTTTTTTACCCCAACAGTTCATATTCCTGATATGTGCGTGCCTGCTGTACCATATACTTATGTTAAACATTATCCTGTTCTCTTTGTATTGCTTCCTTTCTGTGAAATACCTGCCAATCAACCTGTTTTCCAATTTCAAAATGACCATGCTAGGCATAGAAAGACATCCTTCCAAGCATAATCAGTTTTCTGAGTGTGCTGGGAGAACAGCCTGCTTGTCCTCCAATAACCAAGACTTGTGCTGACATGCCTCCCTGACCAGACATTTACTGGAAAGATCAGTGTATTGCCATTTCTTTACCTCCTGCTGACATGCTCCCCTGATCATATAATTATTAAATATATATATATATATATACTCCGCCAGGGGCGAACTGACAACTCATGGGGCCCCCGGGCAATAGGGGATCATGGGGCCCCTGTGTCCTTGCCCAAACTCAAAAAAGCCCATGAAAAAGGTACCAGAGGCATCTCATGGGGCCCCCTGCTGACCCCGGGCCCTCGGGCAGTGCCCAAGTTTCCAAATGGTCAGTCCGCAACAATACCCTTTTTTACAGTGTGTACCGATACTTTTTTATTTTTTTGTGCATGCTGATACCAATTACCGATACCTGCAGGGAACTGTTTTGTTTACACTTCAGCTGGCAGCACAGGAACCCCACTGACAGCTGAATGAGTGATCAGTTATGGACACAGGGGACCCGCTCCTCAACCATTTCGGTTTTCTCACCTGTTCACCCCTTATGGGCCAGAGCAATTTTTACATTTTTGCTAAATGTAACAAAACTACATAAAAAAAGGACACACTTTCTTTTTTTGAGCAGTGCTAGTTTAAAACTAAATAGTGTTACTGCACCTAAACCAGGCACATTTTATTCTGTAATTTGTCCTGTTTAAAAAATTACACAAAAAAATATGATTCTGGTACAAAGCATTGAAAAGTTATTTACAAATTAAATTTTTTTTTGAATGTTGCACTTTTTTTCAATGTGAAACATGTAAATATATGTTAAAAGTGTGAAAATATTAACAAACAAAACAAACATTCCACTTCTATAGGCATTAATTACAGCTTAGCATACATTTGATATATATCTGAATAAAGGTTATATTTTAGATTCATCAACTGGCCAGATGGTGCGCAGGGACACGCACCCTCGTCTGGCATAGATTTAACAAAGCAAACAAAGACAAAAAGAAAAGTTTTAATTAGTAAAAGTTTATAAAATAGAACAAAAAAAACAGCAGGAAAGTAATTAAATGAAGGAGAATAAGGAGTTAATGAGGGCTTAGCTTAAACTAAGGGTTAATAAGGGGTTAAACAGAGGAATATTTAATTAAAAAGAAAAACTTTTTTTACTTGACTTGTTGATTTTAACTGACTTCATCTGCAGATGGACGTTCATCCCTTTGATCTGTAGATGAATAAACAGAAAGATACCAAATGAAACAATGTTTCTTTTTATGTTTTAGCAGCTGAGCAATGTTGTTGATAAACACTGTCAGGCTGCTTTTTTTTTTGCTTTTTTTTTTTTTTTTAACAGTTCCAATTGGAGTTGTTTACACTTCAGTGTCAGCAGAGTGGCAGCCCCAACAAGATAACTGACCACTTTTTTAAAACTTACATTACAGCTGTCAGCAGGCTGACAGCTGAAAGAACTGAGCCTGAAGGTATGGGTTTCAGGTATTGGAGCATTTGCACCAGTAAATACACAAATGTCCCTTCTATTTTAGACCTATCTGGTTGTTTTACATAGATAAGGGTACACATGTACTTTAAGGATCTTTATTTTTGTCAATTCTCAAAAAATCTGCATTTTTACCCTGCATTTTTGTGAAAATAAGGATTTATATGCCTGATGTGCTATATTTGTGAATTAGGCCTACATGCTTGGTAAAAGGACAGGCAGGTACAAAGCCTGCGGTCCATATTTCCATCACACCTAAAAACATGTACACAATGTACTGTAGCCCTTATCAAACTGTTGGTGCTTGCATGACAGAAATGTGCAGCAAAGGGTGGGCTTTAATGCGCACACACCGCACATGTGTGTCACTTGACGGCTGATGTTTCTGTGCCAGGAATAAGCACAGTGTGTGCTCCCAGAGCAGAGACCGAGCTGTCAAAGAGAGCTCTCAGTCCCCACCAACGACTGGTAGCCAGTGGGACTTGCTCCCAATAATGTGACCACTGTGAGAGCCAATCACAGTGGCCATGTGATCTCCGATCCTTCCCATCCTCCAGGCATTCAGGAAAACTCACCAAAATAACATGAGATAACATAGAAATGTCCTTTATGATGACTTGAACCTAAACCACCACTTCTATAACACCCAAGGATTATCCAGACACCACGTCATCTTGTGCATCCCTTGATACCGCCTTACCTTGTCCTTCTCTTTCCCCCACCACCTTGTGAGAGAGGTGGAGGAGATAGAGAGAGATGGAGGAGAGAGAGATGGAGGAAAGAGAGGGATGTAGGAGAGAAAGGGATGGGAGGGATGGGGTAGAGAGAGAGATGGAGGAGGGAGAGGGATGGAGGAAAAAGAGGGGGACGGAGGAGAGAGGGGGATGGAGGTAAAAGGGGGGAGTGGAGTAAAAGGAGAGAGGTGAAGAAGAGAGAGGGATGGAGGAGGAGAGGGTGGAGGAGAGAGAGGGATGGAGAAGAAAGGGGGATGTAAAAGAAAGGGAGGGGTGGAGGAGAGAGACATGGAGGAGAAAGGGAGGGGTGGAGGAGAGAGGGGTGGAGGAGAGAGGGATGAGAGGAGAGAGGGAGGGGTGGGGGAGAGAGGGATGGAGGAGAAAGAGGGATGGAAAAGAAAGGGAGAGGTGGAGGAGAGAGGCATGGAGGAGAAAGGGAGGGGTGAGGGAGAGAGGGATGGAGGAGAAAGAGGGATGGAGAAGAGAGAGAGATGGATGAGTGAGGGTTGATGTACAAGTCCATCTAAATCTCTCTTGCCTCTAATGCCTGATCCACCTTTGGATCGCACTTCAGAGGCCACTGACAGGAAGTGAGGAAGTAATGTGACATGCCCTCACCAACTGCTTTAACCCCATTTTTGCTGACAAACCTGCCACAACCACATGCATTGCACGCAGTTGCAAGGAGTTTTTGGTGCTGGAATGTGCAGTGTATGGGGCTCGCCGCCCGCCACATGTTGGGTAAACTTTGCTGTGGGCCTGAAGTGAAGCATTGTGACCACGGCTTGTAAACATCCATCTTCTATTGCAGCTTTAGGGGGAATGGTTGCCGGGCAGCAAAACTTTGGCTCAACCACTCATTTCTGCCACACCCCAACCACATATCTAAATGAAGCCTAAGAGATGGAAGAGAGAGAGGAAGCCTAAGAGGGAGATGGAGAGATGGAGGGATGGAGAGATGGAGAGATGGAAGGATGGAGAGATGGAGAGCTGGAGTGATGGAGAGCTGGAGTGATGGAGTGATGGAGGGATGGAGAGATGGAGAGCTGGAGAGATGGAAGGATGGAGAGCTGGAGAGATGGAGAGCTGGAGTGATGGAGTGATGCAGTGATGGAGGGATGGAGAGATGGAGAGCTGGAGAGATGGAAGGATGGAGTGATGGAGGGATGGAGGGATGGAGAGATGGAGCGATGGAGAGATGGAAGGATGGAGTGATGGAAGGATGGAGTGATGGAAGGATGGAGTGATGGAAGGATGGAGTGATGGAGTGATGGAAGGATGGAGTGATGGAGGGATGGAGGGATGGAGGGATGGAGGGATGGAGGGATGGAGAGATAGAGCGATGATGGAGAGATAGAGCGATGGAGAGATGGAAGGATGGAGAGATTGAGTGATGGAGAGCTGGAGGGATGGATAGATGAAGTGGAGGAGGGATGGAGAGATGGAAGGCTGGAGGGATGGAGAGATGGATGGATGGAGAGATGGAAGGATGGAGGGATGGAAGGATGGAGAGATGGAAGGATGGAAGGATGGAGGGATGGAGGGATGGAAGGATGGAGAGATGAAGTGATGAAGGAATGGAGAGATGGAAGGATGGAGGGATAGAAGGATGGAGAGATGGAAGGATGGGAATGATGGAAGGATGGAGTGATGGAAGGATGGAGTGATGGAAGGATGGAGTGATGGAGGGATGGAGGGATGGAGGGATGGAGGAGTGATGGAGGGATGGAGAGATAGAGTGATGGAGAGATGGAAGGATGGAGAGATTGAGTGATGGAGAGCTGGAGGGATGGATAGATGAAGTGGAGGAGGGATGGAGAGATGGAAGGCTGGAGGGATGGAGGGATGGAAGGATGGAGGGATGGAAGGATGGAGAGATGGAAGGATGGAGAGATGGAAGGATGGAAGGATGGAGGGATGGAGGGATGGAAGGATGGAAGGATGGAGAGATTGAGTGATGGAGAGCTGGAGGGATGGATAGATGAAGTGGAGGAGGGATGGAGAGATGGAAGGATGGAGAGATGGAAGGATGGAGGGATGGAGGGATGGAAGGATGGAGGAAGGATGGAAGGATGGAGGAGGATGGAAGGATGGAAGGATGGAGGGATGGAGAGATGGAGGGATGGAGGGATGGAGGGATGGAAGGATGGAGGGATGGAGGATGGAGAGATGGAAGGATGGAGGGATGGAGGGATGGAAGGATGGAGGGATGGAAGGATGGAGGGAAGGAAGGATGGAGGGATGGAAGGATGGAGGGATGGAAGGATGGAGGGATGGAAGGATGGAGGAAGGATGGAGGGATGGAAGGATGGAGGGATAGAAGGATGGAGAGATGAAGAGAGATGGAGGGATGGAAGGATGGAGGGATAGAAGGATGGAAGGATGGAAGGATGGAGGGATGGAGGGATGGAGGGATGGAAGGATGGAGGGATGGAAGGATGGAGGGATGGAAGGATGGAGAGATGGAAGGATGGAGGGATGGAGGGATGGAAGGATGGAGGGATGGAAGGATGGAGGGAAGGAAGGATGGAGGGATGGAAGGATGGAGGGATGGAAGGATGGAGGGATGGAAGGGATGGAGGGATGGAAGGATGGAGGGATAGAAGGATGGAGGATGAAGAGATGGAGGGATGGAAGGATGGAGGGATAGAAGGATGGAAGGATGGAAGGATGAGAGATGGAGGATGGAGGGATGGAGGGATGGAAGGATGGAGGGATGGAAGGATGGAGGGAAGGAAGGATGGAGGGATAGAAGGATGGAGGGAAGGAAGGATGGAGGGATAGAAGGATGGAGGGAAGGAAGGATGGAGGGATGGAAGGATGGAGGGATAGAAGGATGGAGGGATAGAAGGATGGAGGAATAGAAGGATGGAGGGAAGGAAGGATGGAGGGAAGGAAGGATGGAGGGATGGAAGGATGGAAGGATGGAGGGAAGGAAGGGATGGAGGGATGGAAGGATGGAGGGAAGGAAGGATGGAGGGATGGAAGGATGGAGAGATGAAGAGATGGAGGGATGGAAGGATGGAGGGAAGGAAGAATGGAGGGATGGAAGAAGAAGAAGGAGGGATAGAAGGATGGAGGGATAGAAGGATGGAGAGATGGAAGGATGGAGGGATGGAAGGATGGAGAGATGAAGAGATGGAGGGATGGAAGGATGGAGGGAAGGAAGAATGGAGGGATAGAAGGATGGAGGGAAGGAAGAATGGAGGGATAGAAGGATGGAGGGATAGAAGGATGGAGAGATGGAAGGATGGAGAGATGAAGAGATGGAGGGGGAGGAAGGATGGAGGGAAGGAAGGATGGAGGTGATAGAAGGATGGAGGGAAGGAAGGATGGAGGGATAGAAGGATGGAGGGAAGGAAGAATGGAGGGATGGAGGGATGGAAGGATGGAGGGATAGAAGGATGGAGGGATAGAAGGATGGAGAGATGGAAGGATGGAGAGAAGATGCCAGGTACGCGGAGGGTGGCGGTGATCGGTGTCCATGGTGCTGAAACCTCCGATATTCCATCCCCCGCCCGCACCCCTCCATCCTGGAGCCCGCACCCCGCCCTCTCCCCAGCCCCACCGATCGCCCCCCCCCGGTACTCACTCGTCGTGCCCCTTGCAGATGAGGAAGAGGGACCTCCAGGCCTGGAGGGCGGCGGCCAGCAGGGAGACGAGTCCGGTGAAGACGCTGAACCTGCAGGCGGGCTCCGGCCCCCACTCCTCCACAGTGAAGTGCTCCCTCTCCAGGGACACGTTCCCGCTCAGCCACACTCCCTCGGTGAAGAGCAGACATTTCCCGTGGAAGTCGGCGCTGTTCTCCGAGAGCGGGATGACGGCGATGAAGCTGAAGAGGAAGGCCAGGAAATAGAGGATACACTGAGCGAAGAGGAAATTGTTCATCGCCATCTTCACCGCCAGGAGCACTTCACCGAGCATGCGCAGAGAGAGGAGGGGGAGAGAGAGAGAGGGGGGGGGGGGGAGAGAGAGAGAGGAGGGGGGGGAGAGAGAGGGAGGGGGGGGAGAGAGAGAGAGGGGGGGGAGAGAGAGAGAGAGGAGGGGGGAGAGGGGAGAGGGGGGGAGAAAGGGGGGGGGGAGAGAGAATGGGGAGAGAAGAATGGGGGGGGGAGGAGGAGGAGGAGAAAGAAAGGGGGGGGGGGGGGGAAGGAGGAGAGAGAGGGAGAGGACAGAGAGAGAAGGGGGGGGAGAGAGGAGGGGAGGGGGAAGGAGGAGAAAGAGAGGGAGAGAGGAGGGTTGAGGAGAAAAGAGAGGGGAGGAGAGGGGGGGGAAGAATGGGGGGAGAAAGGAGGAGAGGGAGAGGAGAAGGGGGAAGGGGGGAGGAGAGAGAGAGAGAGTGGGGAGAGAGGAGGAGGAGGGGGGAGGACGAGGAGGGGGGGAGAAGAGGAGGAGGAGAAAGAAAGGGGGGAAAAGGAGGATAGAGAGGGAGAGGGCAGAGAGAGAAGGGGGGAGAGAAGAGGGGAGGGGGAAGGAGGAGAAAGAGAGGGGGAGATAGGAGAAAGAGGTGGGGGCGAGAGAAGAGGGGGAAAGAGAAAGAGAGGGGGGGAGAGAGGAAGGGGGGAGAGAGAGGAGCAGAGGGGAAAGGAGAAAGGGGGGGAGAAAGGAGAGGAGAGAGAGAAGAGGGGGGGAGGGGGAAAGAGTAGAAGAGAGAGGGGGAGAAGAAGGAGATAAAAAAGGAGAGAGGGGGAGAGGACAAAGAAGAGAGAGGAGAGAAAGGAACGAAGAGGGGGAGAAGAGAGGGGAGAGAGAGAAATGAGGAGAGAGGGGGAGAGGAGAGCGGGAGGGAGGAGATGAGAGAGAGGAGCAGACGGGAGGGGAGAGGGAGAGAGAAGAGAAGAGGAGAGAGGGGGGAGAGAAGAAGAAAGCGAAAAATAAAGGAGAGAGGGGGAGAAGACAAAGAAGAGAGAGGAGAGAAAGGAAAGAATAGAGGGAGAGGGGAGAGAGAGAAGAAGGATGAGAAAGAAAGGAGAGAGGGAGGAAAGAGAGAAAAGAGGTTTTGAGAGAGAGACAGAGAAAAGAGGGAGGGAGAGGAAGAGGAGAGCAAGAGAAGCAGGCAGAAAAGGGAGAGAATAGGTGTCATCCATCTACTGAACTGAGAGTATGGCTGTACTCACTAGAGGATCACCCATCATCACCTTAGGAGGGAAGAACGCTACATGTCCTGTATGGAGGTCAAACTACGTGTCCCATATGGGGATCACACTACACATTTTGTATGAGGGTCACACTACACATCTTGTATGCAGGGGTCACACTACATGTGCTGTATGGGGTGGGGGGGGGGGGGGTCACATTACATGTCCCATGTGGGGACGGACGGGACTCCACATGTTTTGTATAGAGTTCATACTATATGTTCTGTATGGAGGTCACACTACATGTCCTGTGTGGGGGTCATCCATATGGAGGTCAAACTACATGCCCCATATGGGGGTCACGCTACATTCCCATATGGTAGTCACACAACATGCTCTGTATGGGGGTCACACTATATGTTCGGTATGGGGGTCTTACTACATGCCCTGTATGGGGGTAACACTACATGCCCTGTATGGTGGTCACACTATATGTTCTGTATGGTGGTCACACTATATGTCCTGTATGGGTTTGTACTACATGCCCTATATGGGGATCACACTACATGCCCTGTATGGTGGTCACACTACATGCCCTGTATGGGGATCACACTACATGTCCTGTATGGGGGTCACACTACATGCCCTGTATGGTGGTCACAATACATGCTCTGTATGGGGGTCACACTACATGCCCTGTATGGAGATCACACTACATGCCCTGTATGGTGGTCACACTACATGTCCTGTATGGGGGTCACACTACATGCCCTGTATGGGGGTCACACTACATGCCCTGTATGTGGGTCACACTACATGCCCTGTATGGAGGTCACACTACATGCCCTGTATGGTGGTCACACTACATGCCCTGTATGGAGGTCACACTACATGCCCTGTATGGGGGTCACACTACATGCCCTGTATGGGGGTCACACTACATGCCCTGTATGGGGGTCACACTACATGCCCTGTATGGTGGTCACACTACATGCCCTGTATGGTGGTCACACTACATGCCCTGTATGGGGGTCACACTACATGCCCTGTATGGGGGTCACACTACATGCCCTGTATGGGGGTCACACTACATGCTCTGTATGGGGATCACACTACATGCCCCGTATGGAGATCACACTACATGCCCCGTATGGAGATCACACTACATGCCCCGTATGGTGGTCACACTACATGCCCCGTATGGGGGTCACACTACATGCCCCGTATGGGGGTCACACTACATGCCCCGTATGGTGGTCACACTACATGCCCCGTATGGTGGTCACACTACATGCCCTGTATGGGGGTCACACCACATGTCCCATATGGGGATCACATTACACGTATCATTATACATACACGCATGTTTTATGATTATGCATTGTCAAATATTTGTTAAATCGCTTCATCAATCTTTTAGACCAGGCTGGAATCCACCAGTATTTTTTTTAATTTTGAAACAAAAAGCATCTCCCATAAGACAACAGGAATATGTGATGCAGCAAGAGGGCTACACGAGCGCTGTCTCCATGCTCCACTGATTCCAGTCAATATGTATTTCCACATCTAATGGGTCTCTTATGAAGGAGACCTCAAGAAAGGGAATAACCAGCCCTATGATGATGATCTCTTCCAGCCCAGCAGTGCCTCAATGTGACAATCAGCCTTGAATCTTCACCATCTGCTGGTTGTTAGTCAGCAACAAAGCTTAGGTCGTTGCAGTGCACACCTGTCCCAATTAGGAGTGCCTAAATAGACTGCTGAATGTTTAGCCAGGGCATGATTAACAGGTTGGACTGTCTGATCATCCCTAAATTCCAGTCTGCCTGACATCTTTCTTTTCATGCCTTGAATCATTCCAGAAAATAATTTTGATTTTGTGTTGTATCCAGTTTGTCTGTTTTTATATTGATTAGACGCCTATTTCCTAACCAGTTCACAGTGTGTGTTTTATTAACCTGTCTGCTGGCATCTGGTCCAACCATCAACCTCCTGACCCTGCCACTAACTGCTGAGTGTTGTGATCATTCTTGTTTCTAGGCAGATTTTAAACGCAAAACGCATAAAAAAATCCAGCAAAACCGCAATACATGCTTTTCTGTAGCATTCAAATTGAAGTCTATAGAACAAAAAAACACAATATTTTGCGTTCAAAAAGTCCCTGTCACTTTCCAAAAATGCACCGGGTGAAAACGCAGAGATGTGAACCTGTCCCATAGGAAATCATGTTAAATGGACTGTACTGCGTTTCTGCAAAAAGCAAAACACTGCAGAAAATGCAAAGATGTGAACCTAGCGTAAGAGCTGGTTCACACGAGATGCAGTCTAGTGCGTTTTTTTTCCTGCATCAAAAATGCATGCGCAGTGTTTCCATGTATTCCAGTCACCCTTAATTCACACCAATGCAGTCAGTTTCTGATGCAGAAAAAAGTAGAACATTAGAGCATTTTTTTCTACACACAACTGTACTGGAACACAGCAAAACACAAAAAATGCACTGGTACGGAGTGTGGTGTGAATCGCATCCAGAGAGCATTTTTGTGGGTGTGAACTGGCCCTAAAAAGGCCATTCTAGAACCTGGGGCAGCCAAATTTTCATTTTGTGGATAAGCCTTTTAGAAATAGATTAGCATATCTGCAGTACAGAATTCTGGGAGATTATTATTTATTATTATTTATTATTATTATTATTATACAGTATTTATAAAGCGCCAATGGTTTGCTCAGCGCTGTACATTACAAGGGCTACCCATGTTGTGGTTCCCATATAGTCAAAAGAATACATTGTAACAGTGTACACGTTGCCCTCTTGCTATGAGAAGAAGAAATCATCAGGTCTCATGTTCCAAGTTGGTATTTTTTATTGTTTTTAATTTTCTTCAAATTCAAGTTCATGAAATCGTCCGCTCGTCCCTATTTTCCAATTTATATTTAGCGTAGAATAGCTGATTATATAAAATACACCCTACTTTCAGCTAGACAAAAATGTAAAACCAATGCTTCAATAACCAGAAAATCATAGAAATCGATAATTATTATACAGGATTTATATAGTGCCAACAGTTTGCTCAGCACTTTACAATATAAAGGGAGACAATACAGCAACAATACATTTCAATACAGAAGGAATGTGAGGGCCTGGCTCGTGGAGCTTACAATCTAAAGAAAAGTTATATATATATATATATATACATATATACACACACATACACAGTATATATATATATATATATATATATATATATATACACACACACACATTATTACCATCTCTATTAATACATTAACCATTTTTTTTCAGACCTAAGTACTATGCACCTCCCCCACCCTTTTTTTTTTATTCAAATGAGTAAATCTAGTTTATAGCCTTTGTTAGCCATTCTACAACTTCCTAACAGTAAGAAGTCCCTTGCTAAATATGTAGGGCCATCAATTACAGATTTATGCCAGTTAGAAGAGAATACGGAGGGGGGGTAACAAAGCTACCCAGGGTGAATAATATCAAAGTGCAAAACATATTAATAATAAATCAATATAAAAAAATATTATTAATAATAAATCCATTTGTTTGTGTCATTTGTTTGTAGTTGAAAAATTGGCCATACTTTACATTTTTGGATGATTATTAGAATTGCCATCATACTAGTTAACATAATGAGCAAAAGGGGTATAGCACAGTGAAAATCATTACAGCAGGATTACTAAGGGGGTAGAGAACAACTTTAGGGGTGAGGACATAATGGCAGAGTCTATGCCCAGGGCATGAAGATCCACAGTTATAATTTGGTGTTAACAATCGATGGTTTAATTTTTCTGTTATTAACCACTTGCCCT